CTAGTGGATACCACAAAATCTTATGTTATATTTAACGAAAGTATAAATAAACTCTAAATTGTTAGTGAATATATTGTTTTGATGGCATACGCATTCTAAGAAACTAGTTTCAACGATCCAACCGTCAAACTTGTTTGTTTATACTTCGAGATCATCTACACCAAAAATCGAAAAAAATAAACATTCAAAGATAAAGTAACGGGACAAAAAATTTCGACGGTTATAAATGAAAAATCATGATTTAACGGTTATTATAACAAACCATCATCTTTACATATAATAGACGACCATTTTTTATAAAAAAGCGTCATCTTTATATATAATAGACGACCCTTTTTTTAAAAAAAAATTGTCATCTTTATATATAATAGACGACGGTTTTTAAAAAAATCGTCATCTTTACATATAATAGACGACGGTTTGTAATAAAAATCGTCGTCTTTACATATAATAGACGATGGTTTTATAAAATCGTCGTCTTTACATATAATAGACGACGGTTTTAAAAAAAATCGTCATCTTTACACATAATAGACGACGGTTTTTAAAAAAATCGTCATCTTTACATATAATAGACGACGGTTTGTAATAAAAATCGTCGTCTTTACATATAATAGACGACGGTTTTATAAAATCGTCATCTTTACATATAATAGACGACGGTTTTTAAAAAAATCGTCATCTTTACATATAATAGACGACGGTTTGTAATAAAAATCGTCGTCTTTACATATAATAGACGACAGTTTTATAAAATCGTCGTCTTTACATATAATAGACGACGGTTTTATAAAATCGTCATCTTTACATATAATAGACGACGGTTTTTAAAAAAATCGTCATCTTTACATATAATAGACGACGGTTTAAATATAAGGTATGACGTATAAAGGGAATAAATACGACGTTAAATTTTATAATACGTCGTTAAATGAAAAACAAACGTGGTGAGATTTAAAGAAACCGTCGTAGAACTATACAAGAAAGACGTCGATATATTTTTATTTTCGGTCGTTGTACATTAATTTAATACGACGATATTTTGTATTTTACCGCCGTGGATTTATTTGTAATTATATGGCGCCTTATACGAAAACTTGGTCGTGTTATTTTCTGCGTAAAAACGGCGGCTTTTTTTGAAATCGTCGTCTTTACTTTCTACGTCGATCGATTCATAACTTCTGCCGTTCTTTATTTGCTTTGATTTTACACTGCGGAAATCCTGTTTCAAATAGACGTCGGTTTTTTAATTAGGTACGTCGTTGTTTATAAACAACCATTTGAATCTCCATTTTTTAGGTTTCTAAGGTGTTATTACACGGCGGTTTTATAGAATCGTCGTCTTTTAAAAAACAACGACGGTTTTCACTTAGACCGTCGTTTTTTTCTGGTCGTCTTTGTCACTTTTTGTAGTAGTGGAAGCATTCTATAAGAAACACTCATAGTCCTTTGACAACCCATGAACTACAAAAACACACTAAGGACAGAAACCTAGGAGACCATACGGAGGAAGAGCACAAAAATAATAACAAGAATGGCCCTTGAAAAGCACCCTAACTCAACTTAGAATCTGACAAAGAAAACCCCTATGACCAAACATAGGTCTTCAGGAGGGGTATATCAGAGACGAGCTACAAAGGAGCAATATAACTATGGAAAAGGACAACAAAATATACGCTAAAACCGAAGACAAAACCCTCATGGCACACCACCACATCCCAACAACTATCACCAGTGTCGCTACTGCTATCATTGTCGAAACAGAGACAAAACATCAGCCACCAAGTATCACAACTTTCCCAAAGAAAGACCCAATCCAGCATCACTATTGTCACCGACACCGAGACAGAGACAACACCAACCACATAGAACACTGCAAAAATAACCAAATAAAACAAACACACAAACACAACTAGGTCCAAATAGATCGAGGCTAAAAACCCAAGATCTAAGAGATTTGGGGAGGAGAACAGGAAGGGGAGAGAGGGGCCAGAAAAAGCCCCCAAGAAAGTGGAAAGAGAGGGTAGAGAGGATGAGAAGGAAATAGATTGGAGAAGAGGATAGGAAGGGAGAAGATGGGCGGAGGGGAGGAGAGGCAGTGGCCACCTCCCTTAGCTTAGGAAAGGTTGGTTGTTGGCAAGTTGAAAGAGGGAGGGTTTCTGTCGCAACCCTAGTAGAGACTTATACAAGAGTAGGTATTAGTTCTTAAATATATAAAAACATTATAAGAACTAAATTTTTTTATTTTTTATGCTTAAATATATGGCAAGAACTTTATAAGAACTAATAGCATCTCCAAGGGAGATGTTAAATGCAACGTGGCACTTTTATCATGTTAAAAAAAATAGTTGAGACTCACTCCAACCTAAAATGTTAAATGCATGGAATAACATTTCTCTCTACTCATGTTTTTTGTTGTTGTTTGACTTTGTGATTATTTTAGTATTTTATTATTATTTCTCAATTATTATGCCTATAAAGTAATAAACCAATAACACTATATAATAAAATAATATTTTAATTTGATATGTCGGGTGGAATGTAAATTCAATTATATGTCAAATTGCCACATAAGCCATCAAATTCAAATTTAATATTTGATATTTGACATCTCCCTTTTAGAGCATCTCCAAGGATATGTCAGAGAGGCTAGTATATATTTATGTACAAGGTTTTTTTTTTTTCTTCATTTATTTGTGGATTGTCTACGTGTGTGAGATCCTAATTATTTTGAATTTTCCCAACTTGATTAATTCATAAAGTTTTTTTTTCTTCTTCTTTTTGATTTATTTATAGAGTTAAAAAGGAAAAATAAAAGAAATTAAAGTGAAAAAGAAAAAGAAGAAAAGAAGAAAAGAAGAAAATTAATAATAAAATGAAGAAAGTATGTTGAGGTCTTATAAGGGCAAACCAAATCATGGTCCCTAAATGGGGCTCTAAAAATGGTGGATAGAGACTCATTTAGAGCTCCAATGGAATATTCCGGGCTCTAAAGGCATCTTTCTCACAATGAATTTTAGCCTCCAAATTCTAAATTCAAGTCACAACGTGATTTGATAATATTACCCTTATTAAATGTATTGACTTTCATATTACATTTAATTTATCTAAATTTTTTTACAAATGGGAAAAATAAAAATAGAAATTATTAACATAATATTTTGTTTTACCCACCAGCCCCAGCCATACACCCCATCTCCATCTCTAAAAAATATGTTACTTCTCTTGCCAGTCCACTACGTAACATCTTCCTTCCGCCCTTGTGGCTAGGTTGTTTTTTCAATGTTTTCATATTTCCTTCTTAATGTTTTAATGATTAATATCCTAAAACTAATTTTTTTTTAATTTTTTTAATTGAACTTTGTTTTATTTATTTATTTATTTAAGGAACTGATATCAATAAAAATTTAATAAAATATCAATTTGAAATTTGATGGCTTATGTGACAATTTGACATGACCATCTCCAAGGTAGTATGCAAATGAAATAGGGGAAATTGTATTATAACAACCTAGGTGACATGTTGCCTAATGAAAAGGGTTGGTCACTCCAAGAGCCTAAGCAATGCAAGTGTACAAATCATTATTATATTATTATATTATTTATTTTTATCTTTTACATTTATTATTTTATTTTATAGAAAGTAGGTGAGAGAGTGGAGATGATATTTTATTATATATAAAAAAATAGGACCCAATATACCTCTTCATTTTGAAGTAGACAATATTGCCTTGTTGGGGAGAGTATGTATATTTTATCTATCCATTTACCTTTTCTCTTAGAGCATGAAAATGTTGATATGATAAGGCAACTGAAATTTATCTACTCTTTTGCCTATGCTTCATTACAACCCATATGTCTTTTGTATTTAATAAAATAAGCAGTAAATAAAGTAATAGTAACTGAAGAAAGAGCAAATAATAATAAATTATTGAAAGTGACTTTTTAACAATTAAAAATAAAAAGCAGTGACAGTAACAAAGCCCAAAGATTATTTGGTGGGTCATTTGGTTTAAAAAGTCGTAATGCAGAAAATAACACCTCAACTTTGTGGCATCAATTTTGACGTTGCAGAGGTGGACGACATTTTATATAGGCTTTAGACTGTTCGGTTGGAGCATTTTTATCGTTTGTTTTCAGCTGATTTTGCATCGACGTTGAATTTGACATCTCTCTTAAATATATTGTTATAGATGCGTTTAGACCAGTGATATCTTTACTTTATTTATCAATTCTCTCTCCCAATTAAAATCAAAAGAAAGATCATAAGATAGTGATCTTTTTCATGTAGTTCAATAATATCTCAAAATTAACATGGAAACTTGTACCTCCATGATCTTTTTTGCTAAAGGCCTTCTACTCTGTACACGATGATATTCATAGATTAAAGTAGAAATGATGGGATAATTTTGACTTAGTTGTTTTACAAAGTCAATTAGCGAGATCCCTTTGGTCAAAAGTTCTAGTAACACATACTTTATGAGGAAAAGAATTGCTCAACTCAAAAGGTCAATACACACCTACAAAGATACTTACTTTACAAATAATCAATTCATCTTTTCTACCAAATGGGGCCCACAACGCAGTTGTCGGCCTACGACCAGTCCCATTTTACATTTCTCTCCCCATATTGCACGTGTGAACTGCCACATGGCGTTTCCGTAAATAAGTCAAGAGTGGAGGGCAGCTTTGACAACATAGAGACTCCCATTCAAGACCTCTACCTCTATCTACCGGATCCATTTAAAGCCCAAAACGCGGGCGTTCCGTCCACCAAGGTTTACTAATCGACGCCATAACACCGTATTACCTTAACCCGGGTTAAAATATTAACCGCGGTTAAGTTGTCTTCCCCAATCAAACCCCACCTTTTATAAACCTCAGCCAAAACGAAGCCACAGAGAGAGGCACACAGAAGAAGAAGCAAAACCACGCAAACCGGAGAGAGAGAAAGTAGAGAGAGAGAGAGAGAGAGCAAACCAAGAATCTCACAACCAGAAATGGCGGCGGTTTACGTGGACGAAGAGGAGGTGTGGAAATGTCCAAAACACCCCTCCAAGCGCCGCAAGAGCGGAATCTGCCCCGTCTGCCTCCGCGAGCGCCTCGTCATCCTCTGCCCCGAATGCGCTAACGTGCGCCCCTGCGGATGCTGCGCTACGGCGACGACGTCGTCTTCTTCCTCGTCGTCGTCCTCCTCCCGGTTTACCGGCGGCGACGGCGTCCGCGTCTCGAAGCTTCTCGAGAGCGAGCCGTCATTCCGACGGTCCCGATCGGTGGCGATCCCCTTCCTGCGTTCGAGGTCAAGGTTCGTCGGCGGCGGCGGCGGAGTCGGCCATGTGGATTTCGACCGGAGCGAGCCGCATAGCGGCGGCGGTCGGACGAAAACGCCGTCGTTTTGGTCGTCGATGTTTCGGTCATCTCAGAGGAGCAAGAGAAGCGAGGCAAATGGAGAACACGAAACGACACCGGAGAAGAAAGTAGTGGGAGAAATAGAGGAAGTAGAAGACGCAGATGCTGCGATGAGGAGGAATATGATGAGGAAATCGAGGTCGGTGGCCGTACCGATGATGTCGTCGAATTCCGGCGCTGCCGCAGGCGAGAGACCGCCGTCGAAGGGTAGGGGCTGGTATTTTCCGAGTCCGATCAAGGCCTTCCGGCATTCCAAAATTTCGAAGATTGTTTCCGAGCGGTCGCCTGTGTACAGAGGTTAATTATATTTCTCTTGTAAAACAAAAAATAATTAAATTAACACTGAAAAAAAATCTAATAATTTTAATTTTTTTCTCTATTTTTAATTTTTGAAATTTGAAAGACCCGATGAGGAATTTTGATCTTGCAATGGTAATAATTCGAATGTAACTTGGGATTATGTATTGCAAAGTTTGGCAAATTCAGTGATTTGTGATCAATCTGTGCATCCATTAAATTTGTATGCTAAATTTCTGGGTTTGTTTATTTATTTATTTATGTACTTACAGAAATATCGAGCTCGGATGCAAAAGGGCCGCCCTAGCCTACATTTACTTATGATCTTTATTTTTTACCATAAATTATCTCATGCAATTTTTTTCGGCTTTACGTTTAGTTGCGGGTAAATTTAACTAACTGAAGAAAAACGTGGGAAGCAGTTTTGGCGCATGAGAAGGCTGCTGGGTGGGTTGGATTTTTTAACGACTTCCAGCCTCGTTGCAAGCCTTGACTGAATTAAATATCAACTTGGAACTACTTTGGTACACGTGGCAGGTACGTGGATATTGGAAAATAAATATCAACTTGGGAATCTTTAGTTAACTAAAGGTAATTAAAACTAGAGGAACTGAACCGAACTGAACTCGCATAACCGATAACTGACCGAGAGGCTTTGGTATCGGATAAATTGGAATCGTCACTGAATCGCAGGTCGATCATCGGTTATCGACTGTATCAGTGTCGTCAATGATAGTTGGTCGGTTACCACCACTGATTAAAAGGAGTACCAAATTTTAATTACAAAAAGTAAAGGTGTCCAAAAAGAATATTTGCATCTGTAGTGTACTTTCTTTCCAAAACGATAATAGTTGTGTACTTTGTTAGTTGATATGTCTAGTTAGGGAATTTCAGCAAAAATAATAATTTGGGTAAGGGGCCGGAAGGTAAGATTTGGATGAAGGTAGGGCCGTTATATATAGGTGTTATGTGACTTATGTCTCTTCTTAATTTAGTGGTTTAGGGCACATTATGATTTTAGAGGGTGAAAATGTGAGGCTGGCAATTTCCTAGATCTTGGAAGGACTTTAAAAAACAAACAAAGATAGAATGTATCTTCTGGATTATTATTATTATTATTTTTTTGGTTTTTTGTTTTGTTTTTGTGCATGTGATTTATAACGGTAATAAATGGTTAAACCCTAATTTGGAGGGAAGCATCACAATCTAATTGTGTCATGCATGGATTTGCCGTCGATTTTAATTGATCCTAACCTTAATTTATGACTAAAGTCAACTCTTAACTTGATTTGTTTAATTAATTGTGTCATGGGAATGGAAACTAATCCCACCAAAAATCGTATTAATTGATTAATTATGTCGTTTTTTTGGATCAATTCGAAAATAATATTCTAAACTACATACGTAAGAATAGGAACTCAACCCTTGATTATTTCTAAAGAAAATATATTTCACCTCCTAGAATAAAATTGTATAATTTTATCAAAATTTAAATAATATCATACCCAAAAAAAATAGAGAATAAAGAGAGATTCATAAAAATATCTCATAAATCCTTCATTATTCAAGATTTTTTTTAAACAATGAATCCTCGAAAAAAAGCATAGTATGAAAAAACTGAAATATAGGTTTTTCTTTTAAATAGCTGTGTTTTCTTATTCAACTGAAAAGAAGTATTTTTATACAAACAATATTGAAGGAGAGGAGAATCGAAACTAGAACTTCGGTCCATAGGTAAATGCTCTTGAATACGCTCTTAACAACACTCGAGCTGCAAACCTTTGCACTGAAATAAAGTGTTTAAAGTAACTTTGTATCAATGTGAAAAAGAAGAACACCAAAAGTATAAAGTAGTGCATGGTATTATTGGCTCATTGGGTCATCATGTCAAGAGACCTCAAATAATTCAAAGAACTTTTGTGAAGGGACGTTTGAAAGCAGTGTGAAAGTTTAGTAATATTAGAATCATCATCAACAATATTCAACATCCAACAACAGCCACTTACATATATAATTAATCTTAACTTGAAAATAATGTCCATGACATATCTGTTCTCGTGAATGCAGGATATTGAATGAGCGGCTTACTGTCTGTGAGTTATTAGAAAAGTTTGGCAGGTCCACACAAATGGCCAATGTGACATTTGATTAATCTTTGGAACCATTTCTAATTATTTCTTTAGATTCCTTCAAAGGGTGAGACAATTTTGAAGCAAATGATGAGCCACAAGTTACAATTAATTACAAATAGTTTAAGTTATTCACCTATATTGTAAAGTACAAAGAACAATACATAAATTAAAATAATTCGGAGTGTATATTTTTCCTCTCATGATATTTTATATAGAATTAGGGTTTCTCGAAGGCTATTCCCAAATTGAGTCCGGATCTATTGTCTTCATTTCCCATATCTTCTCCATATTTCTCATTTCATTTCTTGACACATGTCCAACCACTTAACTCTCAATATAACAATGATAACCTTAAATAAATTAAAAAATTAAAAATAATCAACTTCCCTCCTCTCTCTCTCCCTTCCTCCCTCCTCTTTCTCTCTTCTTTCTAATTGATTGTCCAATAATGAAATGAAATTAATAAAATTTCAAAAATACCATCAAACTTAAAACACAATTTTGACCTAGTAAATGCTAGAATTTGGCATAATAAGCCCATGTGTCATAGAAAAGTGGCAAGTTGCGCTTGTCTCGTATAAATTACTTATCACGAGTCCAAATTGGAGCTCTGAACCCAAATACGCAAATACGCAAAGGTTGATTTTTTATGTTTTTGGACTTGCGATTGTCAAATTGCTCTTCAATCCTTTCAGCCATCTAATATTCCACAACGATTAAGACCAAATGATCTTGAGCAATAAATACTAATGACTTGAGACCAACATGTCATATTCACTACAAGTTTCATGTATCTTGAAATGTTAATCATTGCGTCTCGATTAGTGTAACCCAAGATTTTACGGCAAGTCTCCAAGGCAAATGCATAAATCCTTCTAAGTAACCTTAACCACATGTTTGCACATTCGAACCATTGGATCGACAAAAACAGTACCAATTTTCTATTGAGCCCTGCGAACCTTATCACATGTATATATAGTAGTTGATCAAATTTAATAAACAAAGTATTTCCAATTTAGAGTTGTGAATACTATATAATGTCTCTCAACATAAATAAATATTCTCAAATTATTTGGTGTATTATAAATAGGTACCGCACATTCAGATAAGAATAAAACAGCATTTCTCCGACTAGCAAACTAACAATATAAACCAATCAAACACGCCGGACAAAACAAATGTAATAAAATATTGCAAATTAAAAAACTCCTCTCTACCATTCTAATTCTGGTTTAGAAGGCGGATCAGCGTTTTGATTTTGACTAAGTGAATTGTGGTGTTGGTGGTGAGTGGGACTTGGCCTAGCTTGACTTGGTCCTTTTGCCAATTAAATCATTAAGAAATTAAGAATCAAAGATTCTGAAATGGTTAGCACAACTGTTAAATCTTCTCCCCATGAACTTAAAGCATTGCTTATTATTTTTTTAATCTGCCGCTGCTCGGCGCTCAGCAGTAAAGTGCTTGTGATTGTGGTCCTAGCCATCACACTGCCAGTGTTTTTGGACCAAGTAAAAGTCTAAAAGAGTTGATATTTTAAACGTCAAGTCTATAAATAAAGAAGAGATTTGAACAGAATTTTTTGACAAATCCTTTGCAGCTAATATTCAAAAGGCTTCTGGAAATTGTGTTACTTTAGCGAGTGTGACATGTATAGAAAATCTATAAAGTTCTGTCTCTCTGTCCTACATATACAAAATTCAATGAACTACAAAAATAAAATAGAGGGCCAGATTTCTATGGCTACAAACAAGATATTGTGGCAAAAACCCCACCAAAAGATATTGTGGGAGATTCTATGTCCTAATTGTTACATCAGATTGTAGCAGTCATCACTTTGATGCAGGCCACAAATGTTTTTATTTATTTATTTATGAATTTTGGTGAAACTTCTGAAACTTTATTAACATCTAAGATCGTAACATACAATTACATTCATAGCGTCACTACAAAACGATACGAGAGGAACCTTGAGTGCAAGGCGGTGAAAACACTAATATATCTTTGGTGAATTAGCCTAACTCACATCACAATAGTGTCTCGTCTTTTAAAACAATACCATACAGCTATTTTTGACTGTTTGATGATAGTGAGATATCATACAACCTACATTGGCAAATGGTCTCAGAGAAGCATAATAAAGACAATTTGGATTCCAATAGGGTCCCCCACATATGGAAGTTAGGTGCACTCTAAGAGATAAATGGCACTTTCTCTTGGTTATTATTATTTTATTTTCTTTTTGGGTTCTTTATTTAGGGCACATGATGATATATGTAAGAGGAGAAGAAAACTTGTATGGTTTTGGAAGAGAATCTTAGGTTCCGACATGAGTGAGTCAGTTAGTGGCTACAATTCAAATGCAGAAAAAGTCATAAAAAGAGTTTGACAGAATTGGATCACATACGGATCCATTTGTGCAGTGACTATTATAAAGCTAGCTTCTGAAGAAACAGCCAAACCAAACCTGTGCATGGGATTAATTGTAGATAACATATACCTCGCAGACGCCATGTAAGGCAGCCACAACTTTAGCTTTTGCTGCGGTCAGCTGATGGCAGGCACAGCCTTAGTCTCCATGTGTATGTCCTCATTCCTCGACCTCATGCATTATCTGTGAGCACATTAATATGGATATTTATGCATAGGTAAAAAATAAAATAAAAATAAATTTACATTATTAATGTTCTTTAATTTCATACCAATTTAATACATTCGTTAGTGAATCCATCAAAACCTCTGTTAAAAGCAGACGTCGAACCACCAGCAGCTTTGCATTACGTGTCCGAAGTGGGCCCTGTACTAAATGAAATCCCGCAAAAAAAGCTAACATGGCCACTTACCCCGCCTCTTATTTGCCACGTTGCCTGACATCT